TGGCCCTGGGACACTGTAACAGTTATAAATACAACTCAGTTGCCAAGCGTCCAATTTTTGATCACCTGACCATGGGGACGCTGCAACAGTCATAAGTGTGAAAAATGGTCATAAGTCACTTTTTTTCAGTTCTGTTCTAACTTCAAACAATCACTACAGTAAATGCACCATGGTAAGTGAGGACTACCTGTATTAGTTTTCAAACTTAAAAGAGAATAAGACTCTATTATTATAAATACCAGGATATCTACCATAAATGCCGGCGTATAAGGCGACTTCCGCGAGCGCTGAAATCGGCGCCAAAGACGGGGGTCGTCTTATATGCCGAGTCGTCTTATACGCCGGAAATACTGGTAGTTTCTGGCATATAAGATGACGTTCTAGGAATGCGGCCCGGCTATAAAGACGGGGGTCGTCTTATATGCCGGGTCGCCTTGTACGCCGGCATTTACGGTATGTCAAAGAGAAAGATATTGTCACATTTTTAATTATCTGGATAATTGCACTTAATGTCTGGAATAATAATAATAATAAAATAATATTTTTCCAGTTTCTCAAAATAATTGTCTTAACAATTCTGCATGCCCAATGTAGCCAAAGCTGCTCAAACACAGTCAAATTCCACATTTTTGAAACATAATCCAATGTAACATTAGCATCTTTAACATGAAATGATTTCCCCATAAATTGACTTAATGTCCATTAAAATATTGTTCCAAAAAGATGCCAACTCAAATGAAAATATGATACAAGTCAATGACCTCTTCCATAAAATTAAACATTCATGAGCTTCAATGTCAGCAATCCAGTCTACAACCCAAGAGGGCCCAAACGTCTCCGGCTTTTTTCAGTCCCAGAATTGAAAGGTCCTTTTTACTATATATTGACCCAAGTAATTGCCAAGCCCTTAATGGAAATAAATCAGAAGTTTCCAATGAGATCCACAAACGATGACAGTCTACTAAATTTCCATTCCACATAAACATATGCTGATACGATAAAAGCTCAGTGATATTTTTGAAATCACCAGCATTAAAATATAATCTCAATTTAGCCAAGGAAATCTTTGGTAGTCTCTTTTGCATATAAACGTGCTCAGTAATTTGTCTGTATGAAGAAAATATTCACATGAGTTTTTTATGTACAGTTTCTTCCTTAAGGGGTGTGTGCAGCTTTAAAAATTCTATTCTGATACCCAGTCCTGAAAACTCAACCCCCTAAGTCTGAGTACCGTAAATGCCGGCGTACAAGGCGACCCGGCGTATAAGACGACCCCCATCTTTATAGCCGGGCCTCATTCCTAGAATGTCATCTTATACGCCGGAAACTACCAGTATTTCCGGCGTATAAGACGACTCGGCGTATAAGACGACCCCCGTCTTTGGCGCCGATTTCAGCGCTCGCGGAAGTCGCCTTATACGCCGGCATTTACGGTAATACAGGTAGTCCTTGACTTATGACCACAATTAAGCCCAAAATTTCTGTTGTTAAGTGAATTTTACCCCATTTTACAATCTTTCTTGCCACAGTTGTTAAGTGAATCACTGCAGTTGATAAGTTAGTAACCTGGTTGTTAAAGGAATCTGGCTTCTCCATTGACTTTGCTTGTCAGAAGGTTCCAAAAAGTGATCACATGAACCTGGAACACTGCAGCCGTCATAAATGGGAACCAGTTGGCCAAGCATCCAAATTTTGATCACACGATCATGAGGATGCTGCCAAAGTTGTAACTTTATGAAAAACTGTCATAAGTCACATTTTTCAGGTCTGTTGTAACTTTGAATGGTCACTAAATGAATTATTGTAAGTGAAAGGACTACCTGTAGTAAATTGCTGAAGGTCAAGTCACTTTTTGTGTTTGAGCAAAAGATTCAAATCTTGTTCTACACACATGGAGATTTCCCCACCCCCCCAAAAAAACAATAACAAAAAACCAAATCAAATGAGGAGAAGGTTAGTTTGAGTTTGTTTCTTGGGGGGAAAAAATGGGAGGAAAATTCTCATACCAATCATGAATATTTTCCTTTAGAATGATGAATAAAATATATAGTCCACTCTGTTTTTCTGCTCCCAAAGTTACATTTAGAACAGGGGTAGGCAACCTTGGCTCTTTTATGACTCGTGGACTTCAACTCCCAGAATTCCTGAGCCAGCCATGCTGAGGAGAAAGGGAGAGGTTTCCAAGCTGAGCCATGCTGACTCAGGAATTCTGGGAGATGAAGTCCTCGAGTCATAAAAGAGCCAAGGTTGCCTACCCCTGATCTAGGAGAAAACTTTGTTTACCCAAGTTATGACTATGCAACCAGAAGACTTTGTTCACCCAGAATCATTAAAATTTCATGCTAAGGACATTTAATCCTTGCAGGAGGCTCCAGCTGGTGCTGCTGCTTTCACCAGAGAAAACCAAGAATTCACTACCATTTTTTCTTGAGCGCACGCGCATTCGCAGTGGTGGAGGTCAGCGGGACAGAGCGGAGCCAGCAGCAGTCCTGCCTCCTCAGAAGAGCAGATCTTAATGTTGGAAGGAACTCTGCTTCCTGTCTCTGTAAAACAAAAGAGAAGATCAAGGCGGCTGAAAGAAATGAAAACATATACTTCTGTACTGAATGTTTGGAAAGCTGAATTCATCAAGTCATATCGTAGCCTCAATAATATAGTTTTAGATGAGAAGCCAAGTTAGTTTTGTGCAAAAACAATAATGAAGCACTTGGCAGCACCGGTGCTGGTGCATTGTCCATACACAGGTAGTTCTTGTTTAGCGCCCACGGTTGGGACCAGCAACTTGATCATTAATCAAAATGGTCATTAAGCGAATAATCACGATTTTAATGCTCTTACTTCAACTCTCCTTTGCTTGATGGACCTGTGGCTGCTCCCTGTAGTTCATTAGGTGGATTGTAATCCAAAAAAGCATATATGTGATCATAAATATATTAGTTTTTTAAAAATAAAATAAAATTGAGTACATCTGGTGACTTACACTGACACAGTTCACGCAAACTACAGAAGTAGTTTGCAATTGCCTTCTGCAATATTTTTCAACTTTCCAATCCAGCCTATGATCTTTAAAGTTCCTCAGACCTCTTTGTTATTATTGTTTCTAGCCTATGTCAGGGTTATTTATTAGAACTTTTGTGGTTAAAGCTAAATACTATACACACTTTTAAACTAAAGGATTCTTACATTTTAAACTAGAGGAGCCAAAGATTAGGATTTTAGAGCATACCAAATTATGCATAATGTAATGTATGTTCAAAAAGTAACAAGGAGATTTTTAAATCCACAGAGAGCACTGAAGAAAAATACTTCATTCCCCCCCCCCAAAAAAAATTTCTGTATCATTTTTCTTGGCTTCCAAATGTATGAAAATCTTTAGATCTCTCATATCCTGAAACAGAGCTCTTTGTTCCTCTGTGAAAATTGAATGTATACAAGTGAGGAGCAGAAGATAAATGATCAGAAAGATAAGGGTGTTTTGTGGCAGAGTAATGAATTTCAGTAAAGTTGGAGGTGGAAATAAAAAGAAGGGGTGCCCAAGTGAATTCAACGCATCAGCCTGCTGTCCCTGAGCTTTATTTCATTTATTCATTCATCTAATTAGGTAGTGTCAGAATGTGCCCAGCACTATACAGAAGGGGAGGGGAGGAATAGAGCAATTTCTTGCTCTGAAGAGCTTAGTCTGAAGTTCAGAAAATGGAGATATGGCAACAGTAAAAAAAATAAAATGCTCACGCTTTGCTACACGTTCAGTTGGAAGTAAAGCCAAGGAATAAGGAGAAAGGACAGCTTAGCAAATACTGTGAACCCAGCCAGTTTTGGCTTATTCGTCACCCCACAGTTAAGCCAATCATAGCTTCATACAGTGTGTGAATCCAGACGGTGTGAGGGGTGGCCTGCGGGAACTAAGAAGATGGGCTGAAATATTTGAGGGAAATGATTTGTTCTGCATGGCAACTGATCAAATATGCAAAATGGGTGATTGATTGATGGTTGCATTTCTACCCCACCTTCCCTCAAGGACTAAAGGCGGCGACACATCCTTGATTTAATCCTTACAATAATTCTGTGGGATGGACTGGCCTGAGAAGTAACAGTGTAGCCCAAGCCACTCACTTCCTGGTCTTGGCCCAACGTTTTGAGCTGTTAGATCACAGATCAGCAACCTGCGGCTCTGGAGCTGCATGTGGCTCTTTGAGCCTTCCCCTTTGGCTCCCAGCCTCCTCTGCCATTTGCAGAGAGAGAGAGAGAGAGAGAGAGAGAGAGAGAGAGAGAGAGAGAGAGAGAGAGAGAGAGAGAGAGGCACTTGCGCTTCCCTGCTTCTCTCTCTCTCTCTCTCTCTCTGTTTGTGTTTGTATGTGTGTGTGTAAAAGAGAGTGGACTCACGGTGTTCTCCGACAAGCTGAAAAGCTTTGGGGGCAGGGCTCCTCCCTTTGCTGCGTCTCTGCAGGAAGCAGGAAGGGCAGGAGAGAGCTAGCTGGCCCAGCTATGCTGACTCAGGAATTCTGGGAGTTGAAGTCCATAAAAGAGCTGAGGTTGCCTACCCCTGTTGGAAAACAGCTTGAAGCCAGCTTGCCAGGTGAGCAGAAGATCGGAGAGAGAGAGAGAGGGAGGGAGAGAGGGAGGGAGGGAGAGAGGGGGGGGAAGAGAACTGGCAGACCAAGGACAGAAAGAGAGAGAGAGACCCTTTTGACATCTAAAATGAAGATAACACTGCATATATCCTTTTTTACCTTTATGATATATGGGTTTTACGGCTCCCAGTGTTTTGTTTTTGGTGGGAAACGGGTCCAAGTGGTTCTTTGAGTGTTTTGGGTTGCCTACCCCTGTGTTAGATGAAATGGGCCTTGGTGAATCTATTTTCTAAGCCTGTGACTATTTTTCTACTGGCTGCTGAGACTTTTGCAAATCGGGCAATGTCCTATAATCTAAGCGTATTGGTTCAAGCCACCCCCTTTGTCTGTGCAAGGATCACAATTGTTGTCCCTTGTCTCTTTCCACAGGCCTGATCACTCATGAAGGCTCCTCGGTGTATCGAATATTCAAGCGCTGGCAGGCAGTGAACCAGCAATGGAAGGTGCTGAATTACGACAAAGCCAAGGACCTGGGGGACCCCCTTGGCGGGAGCACAAAGCCAGGGGGTCGGAATTCACGGACGAATCCCTCCTCAGGGAGTGAGAGGACCTCCCAGCGGGGCCAGCGAGTTAGGACTATTTTGAACCATCACTGTGGTTATACAATTCTGCACATTCTCAGCCACCTGCGGCCTAATGAACATCGTGGGGGCTCCGGTTCCAGCCGTGAAGTGGTCATGAGGGTGACGACCGTATAATAACCGCTTGGGGAGCTTTTGTCAAGAAGGAGAGGCTCTGCAGATCTGATGGAAGGAAGACACCGATGCCCTCCGCTCCCGCACACAGGCTCCCTTCTGAGCCCTCACGGGGTTGGCCACACATTGAATACTGTCTGATGGAAGAAGGCACCCAGCTCTGTGGCATTGCTGCAGACCCCACCCAAGCCTTCCTTGTAAGGGGGGAGCGCCTCAGTGTGGTTTCCTCTTCCTGATCTCCCATCAATGTGAATTCTTTTCCTTTCCATCCAGGCCTATGATGAAAAGGGAGACAGCCCACCCCACCCCACCCCAGCCCTCCTGACGCCATCTCCCTGGCTTTTCTTGTTATGATTAAACTCTTTGGAAGTTGGGTGGGCTTTTATTTATTTTATTTATTTTAAAATGGCCCCTTGCTGGGTCCCTTTCTGGACAAGTCTTGGCGCCAACCCATCCAGAAATTTGGAAACATTTTTACCTCATCTTTCAAAGGAAATCCTGCCAGAAGAACCACGCCTTGCCACCCTCATCCCGTTGCTCTCTTTCTCTCTGACCAGGAGATGCCAACCAGAGAGGCTCTGAACTTTGACCATCCCCTTCCCAAAAAATAAATTTGAAAAAAATGGTGCAATAAACATGTTTCTTAAAGCAAAATGGCATCTTGCAATAAGGTTGCTGCACATTTCATCTTTAATTTACTGCATGAAAGTCTGTTTTTCCTGTTCTCCCTTCCCTCCCTTTCCTTTCGCTCCAATTATGGAAGGATAAAGGATTGTTTATATACAAATAGGTGTCTTCCATTTGCATTGTGCACTTTTTAAAGTTCTATTCCAGAGAGGTGGACATGTGTGTGATAGATCATGGGGGAGAAGGGGAAATATACACTTGGGAGAGTCAGGCAGAAGGTGGGTGGAAACCTCACTGTGTTCGGCCTTTGGGCCTGTATTGAGAAGAAAGAGCTTAAGCCAGTGATGGCGAACCTTTTAGAGACCGAGTGCCCAAACTGCAACCCAAAACCCACTTATGCATCGTCGGGTGCCAGGTGAGTGTGGCCCATTGGCTGGGTGTGCCCCATTGGGTGGGCTGTGGTGGTAACGGCAGACTGGGGGGGGGAACTAAAAAGTTCAACCAATCAATTCCAACTTTGCAAGATCTTTTTTTTTCCCACGAGAAGTTGAAATTGACTGATTGATTGAACCTTTTTTTTTTTTTTTTTGCACACGGCAGTGGAGGCCTAAAGTGAAAAGGTTTTATAAAACCCACCTAGGACTGGGGCGATGGCGCATGTGCCCACAGAGAGGGCTCTGAGTGCTGCCTCTGGCACCTGTGCCATAGGTTCGCCACCACTGGCCTTGCTTAGGACTAAGCTACTTTGAACTAAATGAGGTTTGTTTCTGAATGGACATTTATAGGATTGCTCTATATATCCCATTTATGCCACAATTATGGCAATTGTTTCTTGCATTTAAGAACTTGACCTCATCTGTAGCGCAATCCTATGCTTTTGATTTGGGAATAAGTGTTACTGTACTTTAAATTCAGTGGCAATTTACTCTGGTGAATAAGCAGAGGATTGGGACATTGTCACAGGTATTTAATCCTTCTTGTCTTAACTGAACATATTACAGTTGTGTTTTTTCTAAATTTAAAAGGAAACATTAGGACATTTTGGAGACTTTCAAGCATATTTCCATAGTTGAGGTTTCTTTTCCCCAAATTCTTCCCCAAAAGGATGTTTGTGTTTTATGGTTTATTGTGTGAATGTAGGATTCACTCCTGAATTGCCCATCTAGACATCTTTAGTTTGACTATTAAACACGACTTTCCTGGTCTTCTGGTTATAGAGATAATACTTGTTACCTTAATATGAATATTCAAAGCAAGGATCTGTAATTGCCCTGGTGGGCTAGAAGGCAGGATCTGGATTGCCAAGACACACTCCCCAAACACATTGTCCTTGAAAACAATATTATCAAATTCATAATAGAGTACTTACACTTTTCATCTTCTAAAACTAGATATGTGATGTACAAAATATTGGAAGGGAAATGAGACCAAATTATATATTAACTCAATTTCAACGATCATTTAAACAGCTATGGCAGGCAAATGTATGCCAGGCAAAATTAACAACTACTTTGAATGTTTAATTTTCAGTTTTACTTAATTACATACCGTTCAAGTAATTAATACAATCCCTTATAAATAGCTGCATAGCAGTGTCAATTAGAAGAAAAGGAAATTTTACAGTGATGAAATCCACAGTAGGGGAAAGGAGCAAAATTGTGAGCCAGAAATTAAGGAATGACAGTCACAACATTGCCACCAATACAAATCTCTACAAAGTGGAAATGAATGGTTAATATTGTCACTAGCATTTTTTTTTCCTCCTAAGATTTTAATGTATTATCTAAATTGAATGATGCTCCTATTGGGCCAACATAGAGGTTTATTTATTTATTAAATTTATATGCTGCCCATCTTGTCCAAAGATCACTCTGGGCTACAGCATAGGTAGCCATTTATCTTAATGCTTGGCCATTCTATCCTTATTAATCAACTTTTGCACAAAATTGATCTTTGCAAGATGATCCCGGAAATGTGTTCAGCAATAGATGCAAATGTCTGTTCGTAGGAGAGCTGAGTCTATATAGCCTCAGGCAGGAGTTTCCAGAGAATGGATGCGTTATAAAAATGTAGAGCAAGCCTCACATTCAACACTATGATACATAGCAATACTAATTTTAAATAGCACAATGATTTAAAAAGTGTTCCCTTGGGCTCTGGCTCCAGTGGGATTACTATTAATGCCTGTCCTGGAAACCCTTCTAACCAATCTGTGCCAATCCAAATGCCGAGATGAAAATTGCTCTGCTATTGCCAGGTCACAATGTTCTGTTACCGCGTCATGCAGGAATGAAGGCACCATCATCCACTTGACCACCAGCTACAATCATGGCAACATGGAAGGTAAATGGTGGAAGACTCCCAAGAGTCTTCTCAAATCCACCTTCGTTTTTCTACTCCATCCAAAGTCCCTATTCTTCACTATTCTTGATTAATTGCAACAAAGTATACACTGCTGGCTATGATTATCCCATCATAATTTGATCTTCATCCATTTTTTGCTAGTAAAACACTCACTTGCTAGTCCAGAGCCAAGAAGGAGTAGCAGTACCTCCACTTTTCCTCCAGCAGCTTAAATAGCACCTTCTTTTCCCAGTTTTCTCCCTCCCACAGACTGGATATTGACTGAAACATGGTTTCCTCAGTTCTAGTTCAAAACCGTAATTATTATCCTCCCTCTCCCCCCACACACTGCATTTCACACTCAGTTTTCTGCCCTAACAAACTCAACTATCTGGATGCTGCATCTCAGGATAGGGAATTGGAAAGAGGGAGACAAAATTACAGCTATGACTTCATGGCAGGGTCTTCTTGCTGCTGGAGTTATATCTCTGTCAAAGGGTTCCTGGGATAGCTGAGGCACCCTTCCTCCTCATTTACAATAATTGGAAAACTTTCTTTGAAGCTGATCAGTTTGGATGCTGCTGTTCTTACACAATGAATGTCATGACAGAGGATGTAGCAAGGGCCGAAGAAGTGAAAACAAGAACTCTGTGAAGAAGTATCGTCCTTGGGGTTCTTGGTGCTCTCTGAGCTTGGTTGTTTTCTTGCAGACATTTCATTACCCAAACTAGCATTGATGACGTTACCTAGTTTGGGTAGTGAAACGTCTGCAAGGAAACAACCAAGCTCAGAGAGCACCAAGTACCCTTCATTTCAACTCTGAGCTACAAATATTCTCCTTTAGAAGGATCGTTCTTGGACAAAAGGGCTTCTACACAGTGCACATGGCTGAAAAGATGATGGCGCCAAGGAGGATTGGGTGGAGAGAAGACAGGCAGGCAATGGAAGTGGATCAGAGCTTTCACTCCGCTCAAATGGTCAATATTCTCACTAGAAATCAATCTGACAGCCTGGAAATGCTGAAATAGTATTTGAAGGAGAGGAAAGTCAGAGTAGAAGGGAAAGAAAGACCCAACCTGGCATTTCTCTTCTCTACATACCAGCTACCTGGTTTGAGCTTCACTGGTTTTCAATATTTTGAAAGGAGAGGCCATAGAACACTGTTTCTGAGAGATAAGTGGGAAATGGTACCCCCTTTTATGTACAGGTAAGAACAACCTATTGGTGATGCTTCCAGAAGTTGGGCATAACTCCCTGAACTTGTCAATTATTTTGCCTAGTTCAAAACATTCAGATGAATTATGTCTTCAGGCAAGATCTTGCATCCATGTGCTCCCCCAGTGCAGAAAATTATGTGGATTTTAGAATGAAGAACTTCTTCAAAGCCCTACATACTGTGGCAACTTTAACATTGCACATTCTCTGGGTCTCCTTTCTAGATATGTGAGGTCAATGTGGGGGAATCAGGTTTCCAGGTGACGTTTAGCCTTGATTAGGATGATGGAAAATACAGCCTGTGTGTCCACCAAATCCTTTTCTCAGCTTTTGTTCACAGTTGCTGAAAATCGGGGACATTGGCTTGCTTGGGTAGGACAAGAGACACAGCAAAATTATGGTGTAAGTCTTAAGTCTAGTTATTTTTCCTCCAATAGATGGATAAACTCACTTCCCAAACACAAGGGGGCAAAATCAGTCTTGGATCTATCGAGACCCAGAAGCTGTGGGTGCTCCAACAACAGAGATTTTTAAGAAAACGTTGAACAACCATTTGTCTGAAATGGTATAGGGTTTCCTGCTTGAGCAAGGGGTTGGACTAGAAGACCTCTAAGGTCCCTTCCAACTCTTATTTTGTGGCATGTGGCAAAACCTCATCTACTTGGAAACACTACTCTTTTTGATTTTCATGCCTCCCCCCCCCAAAAAAAAAATGAATCCCAGTGCTATGCTATGAAGAGGTGGTAGAGCAGATTGGACAAACTACACTTGGAAGCAATTGGAGAAGACCCACACTTAACACCTTCATCAATAACACATCATTAACATATTTCCTAATCATACACTCAAAGATAACACTTTGAAAGTTCCCTCTCCCACAAACACAGTAAAACATAGCTATAACAAGGGGATTAAGAAACAAGCTGCCAAGGGCAGCGTGCCAGTTTCTAATGTATAGGCCATAGGATTTGAAAACCCAATTGGAATTAAATGGGGACAAGCAGGTAGTCGTGATGCAAACATGTGTGCATCTCTATGCACAATGTCCTCTAGACTAGAGGAAGCCATGAAAGCTGAGGATCCTGGGAACTTTTGTTCCACATATCTAGAGAGCCAAAATATGGTGAAAAAAATTGCTAAATATGGAAGATTTTCAAATATCCATCTTTTTCTACCTTTTCTCAAATTCTTAAATATAGACTATACAGGTATGACTGGTAAGCTAGAAACATCTATGGGCAAAGAGCTGTGTGAATTTCACTGAAGAAGAACAGATTGTAAATTTAATAATAAATAAGACTACATTTATGCAGGAACCTAGGAATTGCTAAGGTATCTATAGCTCTTTCCCAAATGTCACCCACAGCTTCCCTCAAATTAGAATTTTGTATTAAAAAGAATTTAAAAGTTGAAAGTGGGTAAAATGTTGAGCACCAAATTCTGGCAATTGTGGAGCACAAAAATCTTATAAAATCTCAAATAACTGCCAAAAACTCATATGGCTCCATGAGATTTTTGTCATTCTTGCACAAA